GTCGGACTCGGGGTCCTCTCTGCATGCGCAGAAGAACCCCGCTGGCCAAAAAATAAAATAAAAAAATTTCAACGTACTTTTTTACTCGCCCGGGCACCCCAGGCAACACCCCCACCGGGCAACTTGCCCGGGTGCCCGGCCGGGCGAAAAAATCAACGTAGGTACCGAGAAGATTAGCATGGCCCCTGTGCAAGGATGAGACACATAAATGAAGAAATGGTCCAAATTCCGAAAAAAAGACAAGGGATAGAATCCTCGTTTAAACCTGTTACTTTTTGAAAGGGAGCAGAAGTCAATTCTCTGTATCGACCGTATCCCTGACGAGAATGTCGGAGAAACTGACCGTAAGAGCCTCAGTGTTGACAAACGAGAGAATAGGAAGCAGGACACATACCTGTTCATTACAAAATTCGACGTCCCTTCTGAACCTCTTTGAAGTAGCTCTTGCCGATGCTCAACTGGGATCCCGTCCTCCTAAAAACCAGGCACAAACCGAAAGAAGAAACTTGAGTTCTCTCAAGTAGACTCCAGGGAAAGAGCAGGAGAAAGTAAAAAAAGAAACATTGAAACGGTTTTCACCTTTTGCAGTCACAGATGCGGATACCAGGGCTCGATCCCCAGACCTTACCTTACCTTACCTTACCTGTGTACAGTATCAAGTCGACCCTGTGTGTCTTGAATCCGTGACATGTGTGTTAGTAGTTGAAAGTTGTCTGTCGTAGGTCTGCGTAGTTGTCAGGTCTTGAACCTTAGACCTGTCGAAGTAGGGGTCATAGTTGCATAGGGGTCATAGTTGTTGTAGTTCTGAAAGGTCAAGGTCGTAGCTGCTACAGTCCTGAAAGGTCAAGGTCGTAGCTGCTACAGTCCTGAAAGGCCAAGTCCGCAAACTTCCTGAAGGTCTTGAAGTGGCCTTTCAAGTTTCTTCTCACGTTATACACAGCAGACCAGAGGCAAGTGGGCAACTGGTGAGTCCAACTTCGCTTAGTCAGCGGTACCCGGTCCCGGTCTCACTTTGTATAGTCAGCAAGTACCATGAGGGACTGTGTGTACCATGGGCCCGGTGGAAAAGGGCAGACCAGCGACCTACAGAAGTATAAATCAAGAGGCAGCGTCCAKCCATTCATTCATTCCTGCGTGAGCCATGCGGAAGTGCTGCCATGGCGACTTGTGCGAGGTGGTCTGCAGATGCCCGACGTTGAAGTGGGCTGAAGGGAGATAGAGTATCCATAGCCAGAGAGGGTAGGCGGCCATAGCCGCTGTAGCTAGAGACAGAGTTCGGTGTGTGTGTGTGTCCGGTATTGAGCGAATATGCGTGGGATATCCAGGGAGATCCGTGTGAAGTGCGTGTGAACAGTCGAGGTGAAGAGGGATGTGTGAGCGCTCAGGCGCCATAGCCAGTTGGAAGCAAGTTGTATCTAAAGTTCTAAACTGTGGTTTCGACTTGAATATCTCTGAGCTTTGTGTGGGCGCACAGCACCAGCGTGGATTGACATCTGTTTGCATGTATGTGAAGCGAAGAAGAAAGCGAGTCTGATTGCAACATAGGAAAACATTACTTAAATATTAACAAAAATCTACCTGCCTGGTGGCTAAATCGTGAACACAAAGAATGGTTTTATGACAGTATATAGTCAAACAGAGGTGCCCGGTAAACCGTAGGCAGAAAAGGAGAAGAGGACAACAAACGAGGGGCTGTGAGAAACTGTTTGGTCGGAGTTTCACCGACTCATCAGGAGGCTGAATATCGTCAAATATATATATATTGAAATTTGAATATACGAAAGGCCTTCCACGATTCAGACCCCAAATTCGGATCTCAGGGTCAGATGCCCTGGTCAAGAAAAGGCCGCGTTCGTCAAACTCAGAAAAGTCGCAGTCGGGTACCTCAGCAGTCTGGTCCAACAGGCACCCAGCAAACAGTCACATCTCAGGGACAAGAGTCACGTCTCGTAATAAAAAGCCATTTTGAGGAGTCACATCCCACGAGAGAAAAGGCAGATTCACAAGCAAGAGTCATGTCTCAAAGGCAGGAGTCACATCTCATAATGAAAAGTCATATTGAAGAGTCACATCCCACGAGTAAAAGGGCAGTTCCACAGACAAACGTTGTGTTCAAAAGGCAGGAGTCACAGTCCACAGTCAAAAGTCATGTTCACAAGTGAAAAGTCACGATTCAAATGCCCAAGCAGCAGCAGACCAACGGAAATTTGGGAAGGTTCCAGGCCTTGACATTCAGAAGCAGAATGGCCGTGGGGATGTGGTACCAGAACCAGCCAGGTCCCACAAAGCAGAGGCTGGCACGAGTTGAAGAGTATTCCAAGACTACAGAAGGACTGGCCAGCCTACCATTCGGGCAGATTGCTCATTCGCAAAAAGTGTGGAAGTGCTGGTGCACCTGTGCGCTGTAGTGAGGGGCAGAGCGCTGAGGCCAGTGTGCTGTGCTAGAGCGAGAGTGAGAGAGAGGAAGATATTGCGCTGGCAGGGAGAAGGCAGCCATAGTTGCGCCAGTGCAGAGTGTTAGTAGTAGACTTCAGATAGTTAGTAGGCATATCAGTGGGTATATTCAGAGTAGGTCCTTGAGTAGTAGATGTGTGAGTGCATTAAGTAGGGAGGGAAGACACAGTGAGGTAGTAGACAGAGAGAAGATCAAGAAAAAGAGAAGAAAGAAGAGTTTTGGAAGAGAGACATACCTGAGTGAAGATACGGGATACTTGGGTTGCGCTGTTGAGCGCTGGTGATAGAAACTCTTCATTGCTCATATGATAATTTGTTAAGATTATAAGCTGCACTACCTGGTCTTCATCTTTCTGGTCTCCAGTGTGAAAATTCGTGTGATCTCATGCATGCATGTGGTCTGATTGTGTGCGCTCACTGGTGTTAAACTAAGAGGTTCATTGCATATAATACACGGTACGCCGGACCCGGACCCGGACAGCTCATGTCCGGGGACCGAACGCATGTCCGGTCAGGTCCGGACATCCTTACCTTCGGATATGCATGGTTCCGGACGGTCCGGACCCCGGAAATGTCCGGATCATTAAAAAAAAAAAATCTGAAAAAAAAAATGTTATGCAGAATAACAATGCAAGCCATTTTTGCCTCATAGTCATGTCAGAATTCCTAACCAAACTTGCGTTAAAAGTCAAAAACTATAAAAACTCAAAAAACGACTTTAAAAAGTAACGAATTATTAATAATTCATTACTTGGGTATTAGTAATAAATTATTATAGAGGTAGGCCATGTACGGACCCCCCAAAAAAACAAAAACAGGCCTGAAAACCCCCCAAAACAATTTTGGGGGCTTGGCTCCTCAGTGGGGAAGGGTCCTGGACCGTTTCCCCCCCCACCCCCCAAAATTTGGCAGATCCAGACCTTCCGGACCGGACGTCGGGAGTCCGGAGTGAATCCAGACCATCTGGGCGGTGGTCCGGACGTCCGAATAATAGCCATGATATAATATGAACGTTGGTAATAACCGTAATATTAAAAAAATTCATTGTTTTTAATTCTATCATATTTCGTATTTGCATTATATGAAAAAGACCTTTCAACATTTACTTTACACTGTTTACAGTAAATTATGCTGCTCCATTGCTGCAAAGTTCTCCATGAATTAAAAAGTGCCACTAGATCACGATATCTCTTTGGAACCGGTGCACATATACACGAGAAAAGAAAGAGCTCGCGATTTTTAACGCGGCTGCAGCCACTGCCGTGCGGTGGCGTGCCCCCCCCCACGCAGCTCTCTCACTCTCTCTCTCTCTCTCTCTCTCTCTCTCTCTCTCTCTCTCTCTCTCTCTCTCTCTCTCTCTCT